CAGTTGAGTTGGGGAAGCTGAAGGCCAGCCGATAGTCACTACACAGGGAGATGAGTGCAATGCCAAAGTGGTACAGAAAGCACGGAGGTGGCAGGGCGATGGATAGGATTGCTGGGAATATTATCCTTGCTCATTTCCTCCCATGTATTTACCTTCAGTTTACTCTCCCAAGGAAAAGTAAGTGAGCCAAGGCCCACTCACATGTACCCCATGGTCTCTAGTTGGGATCTATCTGAACAGCTAATATTGACTATGCTGACCATTTTATATAGATAATCTCATTTAATCCTCACAACAACTCTGCGTAGTTTTACAAAGGCCAGGTCACTTGTTCCAGGCTAACAGTCAGAAAATGGAAGATTCTAGCTCAAGTCTGTCATCAGCTAAAGCTTAGCTTTTTTTTTTTCTTTACCCTTTATTGTAGAGCCTAATTACATGGCAGAGAAAAGGACTGGGAGTCTCTTCTAGAGTAAGTCTGAAGTTTCTGATCTACACAGATAGTGCTAAATCTTTCTGTGCCTACTAAATGGGCACTTATTTTGCAAGGACTACCCAAAGGCATGGCTGGAACATAAACAGTCAGTGTGTGTTCAGTACGTAAATAGTCAAGGGAGGAGAGAATAAAGTGTTGCAAAGATCAGCAATAACTCCTAGCCACTAGGTGTGCACCAGACTACTGAAACTATCTCTGGGGAGTGATTCTGGACTCCAGACAAGACATTAATTAAGCCCTAATCACTGAGGGCTAGGGAACTCCCTATCAATTAATGGCCACTGGGAGTCTGTGAGACCTGAGGCCTACAGAGGGTCATGCCCTTTAGCCAGGTGTACCCTGGGGACATATCTGTGCGAAGGTCTCGATGGGTACTGGGGGCAGAAGAATTGGATATATAACTCTTCATTTTTTAAAAGTGGAAATTTTTATATTTGCTAAGCTTCCTAGGTTATGTCTAGGACACAGCAGTTTCTACATTGACTTAATTATTCAAATTGTCACTTTCAACTTTTCATTCCAAATGTAACATAAACCAATAGACATATGGAAAAATGCCCAATCTTAAATAAATTTTATTATGAGAATAGTGAGATACGATTCTTCCCCAGTTTGGCAGTAATGAAAAAAATCATCTGAAATTTACCAAACACAGCGACAAAGAGACTCTGGTAAAAAGGCCTTCTCATGTACTAACAGTGGGGTACATGGCACTAGAACTTACTGGAAGGAAGAGTGGTAATATCAATAAAAAAAAAATATGGGTACTTTGACCCCCTAATTCTTGTTCTAGGAATTTATTCCAAGGAAATAATTCCAAGGTTGACATACTTTTAAAATGTTATTTACAGCATTAATAAAACCAACTAATTTGAAACAACCTAAATATTAAATATTTATAAAAAATACTATTAAATACTATTCAAATAGGTCATTGTTAACCAACCAGATAACCAGACAGCAGAGTCCTATTAGCCTACCTAAAAAAATGGTGTGAATCTACATGCCATAACATGGTACTTTCTCCACGTTGTTCGGTCAAACAAACAAACAAAAAAGGCTTCTATAAACCTGCATGTGTATGTAAGAGGCACGCAATGGATTTTGCAGATGTTACCAGCAAGTTGCCTAGAATGAACATCATCAAATTGGTGGTACAGAGTGGCTCTTTCTGGGTGGTGAGATTTCAGGTGCTTTTTTTTCTTCCTTTTTTAAATTATCTGCATTATTTGAATTTTTAAGACAATGACTATGTAATATCCTTGAAAATGGAAAATGAATGGTTTTTAAAGATCAAGTGCAAACATCTCAAGGGTATATAAATTTTCTGGAGAAAAGGCAGGGCTAAACCAGAATAATGGCAGACTTTCAGAAGAAAAATGTGGAGGGATTTTGAAACTGTCTGACAGCCTTACACAAGAAGCTTCATCCTTCCCCAGTCCTGGAGGAGTCGGGAAAGTCCAGTGGTTTGGAGCCCGTGCTCCAGGGTCAGTCCTTAGGTTCGAATATTAGCTCTGTCATTTACTAGGTGAGTGATGGGGCAAATTACTTAACATCTTGTGTCTCAGTGTCCTCATTTATAAAATAATAGCAGATAAAAGCAGATAGCACCTGCTTCTAGGATTGTGGTAAGGGTTAAGGACTAAATGAAAGACACCTACACAATGTCTGGCACATCACCAATGTTCAGTAAACATTAGCTCTTATGAAAACCAGCTTCACACAATTGTAGCCTAAGTGAGTTAAGTTATCCAGAATGAAGTGCTAATATTCATCCAGAATGAATAGTTAGGGAGAGTAAGGAAGTAGTGGACAATTGGGCAAAAAAATCCACAAAAGTAGATATCAAAATATCTAGGCTCTGTAGCACAAACATTTGGTGTATGAGCTGTGAGGTTTCAGGTAGGTGACTTAACCTGACAAGTCTTAACTGCTCATTCTGCAGAATGGGGATCATACACAGAAGGCCATTTTAAGGAATAAATGTCAATAACACAGTGCATGGTTATAATAAGTTCTAAATACATATTTGGAACCATTAATAACAATAATTATTATCTACTATGAGATTCAGTAGTGAGCTCCCTGTCACTACAAGTAACCAAGTAGGCTTGCTTACTGCATGAAGAGGATGATGCAGACAGGACTTAGTCAAATAATGAAGGGACAGACAACTGGATTTTTCCAGACCTAAAAATTCTGCAGTCTTTGAAAAACATAAAACTGATTGTGAAAGTGGAGTTGTTCAGGACCGTTCTACAGAGTGGTGTGGGAGCCCATCACTGGCAGGGCTAACTCCCCACAGAGCTATGCGGTGCTGCAACTCTCAGAAACCAACCCCACTCTTCAGAGAGGTGAGGCAAGTGTGAGATGGTTGCCCCAAACTCTGTCGATTCTGTCCCAAGAGTGGCTCTGCCTGCTCTGGAAAAGCTGTGGAGAGTTGTTCTGGCACCCAAAACAAGGAAATCTGGCTGCAGATGAGGATGACAGTGTTCAGAGCAATAATGAACCCATACTGACCCCTTACTGCATGCTGATCTTCACACTGAGAGATTTGCATAAATGTCTCATTGACTTCTCCCATTAGACCCGTGTATCTGTATCTATGCTATGAGCATCATCTGCATTTTACAGATTAAAAAAAAAAAAATGAGGCTCAGAGAGGATAAGTATTACCCCCAAACCCTTTAGCCACGAAGGGACAAGGGTTTTAACTCAGGTCTAAGGTACATTCAGAATGTGAGGAGTAATTGTAAGGCTCCTGACAACTTGATAACTCATTAGCATTACAGATGGGTCATATTCCCTTTCAGACCGGCCACTCAACTGCCCCAGCCTCACAGGCTTAGTTGGTCTTTCTCAAAGTAGCTGGGAGCCCAAAAAACCGAAACTGCCATGGGCATTATCTAATAATTCCTGGCTGGAATTATCTCCAGCCGATTATCTCCAAGATAATCCCAGTACTTAGCACTTTTATTTTCCTTTAAAATCCTTTAGTCAACCCAGGTGTCATTCACACTTGCCTAGTCCCGCGCTGTGGGATCCATTGGACTTCTAGAAATCAGGTTTTCTTTACCATGGCAAGTGCAGGGGACAGTCCCCTGTACCTCTCCAGACCTGCACACATCTTCAAACTCTGTTCTCAAATCACTGGTATAACCTGCCTCACAATGCAGGCAGATCCCAAGGGGACAAATTCAAAACATTGTGGGGAAGAACGCAGGCTTTGGAATCACAGACTCCCAGGTTCACATCTTGGCTCCTTCACGGAGTACTTACCCTCCCTGAACCTCAGCTTCCTCATCAGTCCAAGAAGGATTCGATACTCACAGCTGTGTTGTAAGGATTAGTGAGATAATACAATGTTGGAAAGGGGCGGGGGTGCTCACTCAGGGTGCACATATACTAAAATTGGAAAGGCAATGGGGTGTAGAAGTTAAGAGCATAGACTATGTAAGTTCAGACGCTAGCTCTATCATTAGCTGTGTGTCCTTGGGCAAGTTACTTAACCTTTCTGGGCCTCAGCTTCAGCTAAAAAATGGGGATAATGATAGTATCCACCTCTCTAGGGTAGGGAATGAATGAGTTATGGCTTGGAAAGTGCCTAGCACAGCACCTGGCATGCTAGTGAGCACTTCTAAAATGTGAACTGTTATGATTAATGCATGTAAAGTCCTCAGTATGGTAAAAATAAGTATTCAATAAATGGTAACTGTTTTCGCTACAAGGTACATCTTCCATGGATAATTTTATGCACCTTCATCTCCTGGAAAGCAATTGAAAAATGAAGACATTAGGGGAAAATCTTGTTCTTAGGTAAATCCTGCAGCCAAAGCAGAGGTAACTCACTGCCCTGTTGCACTACCAGGACGCCCTAGGACCCCCTCACCACACCCAGCCCTCCGTGGCTTCCAAGGGATCTGCCTTTTATTCAGCCATCCACTTTCTCAACAGATGCTCATTATATACCCAAAGTGAGCCAGAAGCAGGCTGGAAATACCCAAGCAGTTAAAAAAAATAAAAAAAAAAAGCCTCCAGCCCCTGTCCGACTGAGCCTATACAGGTTAGTGGGGAAGCTACACACTAAATAAATGCAGACGAGATGACTCTTTCGGGATGGCTGCAGTTTGTGTTATGAAGGATGTGCAGAGAAGGTACAGGAGGGGTCCTGCTGTGGTCTAGCACTGACGGTGTGTATGAGGGAGGAGTCCTTGGAAAGGTTCCCTGAGGAAGTGGCATATAAGCTGGGACTTCAAAGATGAATGAAAGTTCACTGGGTGATGCCTGGGAGTGGGAGGAGGAAGCAGTCCAAGCAGTCAGGCATTTTGTTTCAAGGTCTTGCAGCCACAATGTGGCTGGCTCACTAGGGGAACAGAAAAAGGGGCATTTCAGCTGACTTACTCCTAGAACAGCCACCCTAATGGACTTGGTCAAGGTGCTGGTATTTGGAGAGAAACCCAGGTCTGAACTGCCTTCTCAGTTGCAATACTTCTCTCTTCCCTTCCAGACGCTTCCCATTTGCTGGCGGGATTGCCAGGCCTCAGACTCCTGCTGTGAGGCCAAGTGAGCTCAGTTCTCGCTCAGATTTCCAGAGCTGTGGACGGGGTTCACATTGCCTACATGTGAGCTTCAGCCAAGACACTCCAACAGGGATTCTGCCCTCTGAATGCCTTCGGATGCCTCAGTCCTATCCTGATCACAGCCCACTGGGTTTTGTGATGAACAGGGAAACAGCATGAAAGAAAGCAATGGCCCCAAAGGAGGAACTTGTGATTGACACAAATGGGGATGTTCCCTTAGGGGCATCATATATTGTCAAAGAATCCAGACCCCAAGTTACTGATTTCCCCACCAGTTTACATGTTACAGAAAGTAGATGTGCTTCAGTTTCCTACAGTTTTACAGTAGGAAATTGATGCTTCGGGAAAGGAAGCTGTATGCTCTGGACGTAGCAGGTTTCTTTTGGAATTCACACACTGGGAGTCTGGCGCTATCCCCTAAATGGTACTTTTGTTGTCTTTTTGTTCAAGACAGCAAGCTTCTTCCAGGATCAGAACTGTCTGCCAGCCTCTCTGGATAAACAGCCCACCAGCTCTCTTGGTAGATGAGATGTTTAATGATTAGCCTAACTCATTGTTTATCTAAGTGGCAATTATCACCGTGATGAAATAGTATTTTAACTGCAGGGGAAGCATTACGGATAGCTCCCAAGGAGAATCTACTGGCTGGGAATGGCCAACGGAGCTTCCTATACACGGAGGAGAGGACCACTTCATCCTGGCTGGCAGATCTCTGAGTCTGAGATGCTATCATTAGATGCTGCTCCAAAGACCTAAGGAAATGTGCCCTGGAGAAGTGTATGGTCCCAGTCCTTCTAACTGAGGCTCAATGGCCCAGCAAAATATGAAAGTGCGGCCTGTGCTTCTAAAGCGTAACAGCCTAGAGTCAGTGGAGTTCGTGAAACAACCTCATCATCGCAGGAGCAAATCTCAGCAGGTACGGTTCAAGGAAGATGGGACCAGTAAGACTCCACCTGGCCTAGCTGAGGTGGATGTGCAAGCTTCTGAGGACCCAGCTGTGATGGGCAAGACTCAGGCCTCCAGGCACCATCACCTCCCCACCTACTCACTCTCCTTCCCCAGGCCCCAGAAGGCAGGGGGCTTTCAGAACATTGCGATCCAAACCTCCCCCAGTCTCAGGAAGCATTTCCCAGTTTTCAAAAGGAAGAGACTCACAGCCAGCAAGTCCCTGGTAGAAATGCCAACAGCCTCCCAAAGTGCCATCCAGGTCAACGGCAACCTCTCCGAACAGGACATTGTATCCTCGGACCTTGCCTACTTAAGATTGGCTCAGCATCTTGAGGATGGGCCTCGAAGAGTCAAAGTGTCCCACCCGTTTCCTCCTAGAATGTCCAAGGTGCAAAGCAATGGGCCTATTAGCGTATGCTTGGAAGCAGGGACTTGGAAGGTCTCAGAGAAAGCAACGGCTGCCATTCAGGTCCCAGATGACATTTACCACAGCCCTACCTGGGCAGCTAGAAAGTCCACTTTCAGTTCGGACAGGCCAGGTGACCTGAGCAACTCCGTACATCCTTTGGTGGACGTGTGTCCCGGTGATGGGAAAACAGTGCCACTCTCAGATTCAGAAAGATCCCCTCCCTGCTTAAATGCCACCAGCGATGCCAGCCACATGCCAGGCACGGGGAAACTTAAACCTGAATTGCTTTTGCCCAAAGACAACGCTGAGGACAAAGACCTTGGCCCACTGTCATCTCGGTCAAAGGAAACGTGGATCCCGTCCCCTCCACGGACTCACAGCGCCCCCTCACCAGGCTCTCACAGCCAGCCCGCCCATTCGGGAGGGGCTACAGACTGCTCCTCGGCAAGTAACAATCACCAGGATCTGCTGTCCCTCAAAACTAACGGCGTGTCAATTTCTGCCCCCGCGTGTCGGGAACAGACGCCAAAGAACCCCACCCAGTCAGACACCATGGAGTTTCAGAATTGTTCGGGGAGCAGTCACCTCCCGTCTCCTCCTCCAAGAAGGGAGGCCAAACCTCAGAGGGACAGAGAGACGGGTGGGATTAATCCAGTTCACCTGGCACAGGGGGAGCTCTGTGACCTCCAAGGCCGGCTGCAGTCCGTAGAGGAATCACTGCACTCGAACCAGGAGAAGATTAAAGTCCTTTTGAATGTAATCCAGGACTTGGAGAAAGCTCGAGCTCTCACAGAAGGGTAAGGTGAAGGTGTTTCTATTGAAAACTACTGGGTTACGTCTTTTGCCAGGACAGGCGCAGAGAGAGCACTGGTTCCTGTTAACATAATGCCTCCAAAGTCTCTGAGGTTCTGTGGTTTCGTTCCTTTCTAGGCTTTGGTGGATTTCCATTGCTATTTGTTTTGGTGTCCAGATATCAAGAGACCGGAGAAAGGGGGGCAGCAAAACAACAGGATCAAAAAGTATTTTTATAAAGACAGGAGGGGGTGGCTAGATAGTAAATGACGGCAGAAGATGAGAGCACACGGCTAATTCCCCCATTCCAGCCTTCCAGCGAGTTGCTGTAGTTGCACAGGATTTTAGTTATCTGTGTGCTTTTTACAAAGAACTTGAGGTTACCGTTGACCTTCCCCCTCCACTGACCACATGGATGGATATGGCCAGTCCATCCCTGATCCACTAAATAGGAACTGAAATGAGATCACAATTCTGCAAAGAGAAAAAGTTACAAAATACTTTTCTGGGTGACTCAGCACCAGTCTGGGGAGGGGAAGGCAGTGGTTTGCTTAGGTGTGGAATGTTTGTCCTTTGAAAAAGTGCCCCCCAAAGCCTGGGAAGAAGGAATGAGTAAAGCTAATCAACAAAAGGGCAGGAGAAGGAAGAAGTTATTAAGTGGTATTTGCTGATAGGAATCAGACCCAACATTGCCTTATAAGAAAGAAGCACTACAGTGTTAGGGAGAAATGCATTGAACAAAACGGTCTGGGGTTTTAATAATCTCCCTTCTATTTGCAAGGTCCCTCAGTTTCCCTCACTATTGGTGGGGGTAAAAGTAACTGACTCATCTCACCGACTTATTGTCAGCATGAAGAAAACCTCAGATACAAAAGTGCTTAAACATTTATAATGCCCTCTAGAAAAGTGAGGTCCTCTTATCATGGGTTTCTTGTTTCTTTATTTGTTATGCAACTCTAGAGTATTGCTACTGATAAGAGGGGTAATGCTATGCTGTAGGAAACCAGTAGCTAGAATGTGTGCACCCCCTGGGAATTTTGTCCATGGACTCATCCAGCAAATGCTCTCTCTTGCAGGCGCAACTTTTATCGAACTGGTCAAGATCTCAACAATTGCAGTACCTGCCAGAACACGGCGTGCATCATATACAGGTACCTGGCCAAAACCAAGGCCTCTGCTGTGGAGCCCAGAAGCTGTGGGGGCCACAGAGCCCTCTTGTAAACTCTCTTAGACACAGAAAGCCAAGTGGAGAGGCAGAAACAGGACAACTTTGAACACCTGAAAGCTAAAAATTAAAGCAAAGTGTTTAATGATGAAATGTTCGTATCTGGTTCCAAGGCTGACATGGCTTGCTTTCTGCACAAGAAGGTCTGTGAGCAAATCCCATCGAATGCCCTACCCTTACTGTACGCTGAGTGTTGACACGGTGCTAAGCTCTGCGTGGTGTCTGCATCTCATTTCACAGTTACGCCTTGTGAGGCGGGTGTCTGTGTCCTCAGGGACACTAAGCCATGTGACCTAGTTTTGCTTTAAACATTTTCAGCTAGCCAGAGAGGTCAGACTCTGGACTCAAATCCAGATCTTTCTGATCCCAAGCCTTGGGACCTCAATCCACCACACCGCCTCTTCCTCAATGGTGGCTCTCACATGCCAAGCGTGTCCTGTGTGTCAAGAACTGTGCTAAGCACTTTGGGTTCATTACTAAGTACATCATTTCCTTCTAGTGGCGGTGGGGGCGGTGTATGGTTGCTACAGTAAAGTAGATTTGTAGAGTGGTAGATGAGAAAAATCACGTAGTGATAAGTGTGCTAAACGTGAAGTCAAAATCCCCAAGACTGATGCCCATTCAGCTGTCCCGGGCTCAGTTGCCTCATCTGTGGAGTGGGGACAATTATCCTTATTACGAGTGGCCATGAAGAGCAAATAAGCTCATTTTTTGTGAATGCCTTTATAATTGCAAGCCTCTGTACAAATCCAAGGGCTTATTACTGTTATTACTAGAAAGATCATTGCTCCCTTAGCTGGCAGTCCACTTTCGGTAGCGTGGTAGAAAAGTGGTCAAAAGCAGACATTTCAGGTGATGGCATCTAATTTTGTCTGTCTAAAATATACAGTTGAGCTTTCTCTATTACTTTTCTATTTTGGAGAAGAAAGGCAGTGAGAGCCTAAGCAAACTGAAGCCCGATTGTATTGTCTGTGTCTTCTTTTTAAAATCTCTTTCTCTCTAGTGGAATCCTGGGATTTCATCCTAACAAGGGATTGGGAGGTAAAGGGGTGTTGGAAACAGAAGTCAGGAGGCCTCTATACTTAGGGCCTAGGACCTTGAGCATTTTCTCAGTGAAATGTCAACTCCTTATGCTTGGGAGTCACTGGACCATGTCTTTTCATCAAATAACACAAGTTTCAGGACCACTCACAGGAAATACCCTTTATCTTAGTGTAAAATATCCCCTCAAAAAAGGGAGCCCTGGAAAAGGTTTCTGGTATAGGAGTGTGTAAATAGGCAGTCTTATCAATTGTTTACCTTTTTTACTCTATTTTTTGTATCTCCTATGTGAAGTAAATTTCCTAATCACTATGAGGACAAAAACTATTGAATGTCTAGACATTTAGGGAGGACAAAAACTATTCATCATAAATAAGAAGAATGATTTTTAATGAACTTCCATCTAAATTTTGGATAATTTATTTTTTTCAGCATGGAATGCTATATTTTCTACCATCTTAGGATGACTTTTTATTTAGCTCTGTAAGTGAAAAGGAGAAGTAGTTATTTCCCAATCTACTGTGAGTGTCATAGCCTGGTCTTGAGCAAATCATTTCTGGCCTCTGAGTTTCCTCATGTGAAAAATGAGGGCTTTTAATTAGATGGTCCCTATGGTCCCTTTCAGTCCTGACATTCTGATGTTTTATGCTGAATTCAAAGTGGCAATATTTGGCTAAACTATGACCTTCCAACAAGTCTGAGAATGTTTGCATTTTTCTAGTATGTACTTCAAACATCCCAAGCAAACATTCTAAATTAAGTTACACCCCTTCACAGGTTAGCAAACCTTCACACACACACATCACTTCCTAGTTTTCCAAGAACAGCCACTGTATGCCTCCATCCCTTATTACCATTCAAAGCCAGACTGCTTTCCCAGACAGTATCTGCAACCTTGTATCTAAGCCATTGCAAAGGAACGGACAATTAATTTGATGAAAGCAAAGAGATCAGAACAACATCCCTGTCAGAGTAACAGTGGGAAGATGAGAGTTGTCATTTTTTTTTTTTAACATTTCAAATGACTTCAAACCTTGTGTTGTATCCTGGAAAGTCAGATCTTACAAACTGATGAATAAGTGATGTGAAATCCTCATCCTCAGGCCTTGTTAAGCTTCAGTCTCTCTCCCTGATGATGGATGGGCCCAGTCCCCGTCACTGTACATAAAGCACATGGGCGCCTGATAGTTGCCTGCTGGGTCTTCTTCTGTGGAGATGTTGCTGTTAAGTTAGCAGCACATAAGGTTTTCCAAATGGTCTCATTAGCCAAAGGCTATGGCTATGCTACTCGCTTCCATCAAGACATGTGAGGTCATTGGCTCTATCCAACTCATTTTCCCTGCGCCAAGAACAGCCCTCTGGGTGCCCTGACCCCATGCCTCCTTGACTTTCTTCTTATTGTGGATCATTCTGGCAGATTCTACCTCACCAAGGAGAACAGCACTAATACAAATGCCTACAGATTCCATGCATAGCTCTTAGGGGATCTCAGGGACTTCCTTACAGCAGGGAGGATGGGCTCCTTGGAATTGTGACTACAGAAGGTACCAAGGGAAGACTGTGGGAATCGACTCTATACCGTAAGCTGGTTCCAGGCTGTTTTAGTCCCCAGTCATTCTCCTCACCTTTCTTTAGTGTTAATCCTAGGACAAGTTACTCAAAGGATTGGGTGAATGCCGCCTGTGGTACCAGCATTAAGTAACAGTGAATTACATGATGAGAAGGTTGTCCTTTTTTCCAAATTTATTTCAATTCCTCTGATTATCTAACAGGGGAAATCTGAGTTTGGTACTAGAGTATCTTCAAAGCCTTCTAATGCTTGCTTATTACACTTCTTTGCCAAGAGAGAGCTGCTCTCAGGTTCATAGCCATAGACAAGCAGTGGTATCTAACCAGAGGGTAACTGTTTTAAATTTTTTACAGAAGTTTTTAACTTTGAAAACTAGTCCCTCTATATATTCATTGTAGGTGATGTGGATCTTCACTTTCAAAAGTGGTATTACTTGCTTTGGATAGGTGTTCAGGTTTAAAAGTGAATTGATTCAGAGAGAGAAAAAAAAGTAAGTAAATGTGCAGATGGTGTGGGGAGTTTCACAAAGACCTGGAAGGTGGTGAAAGAATCATGAAGGGTGGAAAAATCTATCCTAAGGAATAAGCTCTTTTTCCTCTTCTCAAGGCCCTGGGGTCCCTCCATGCCACATCCCTCCTCCATCCCTCACCCCTTCTCTGCTTTTCCAGCACTTTGTCTTCACTCTAAAAAAAATAAATAATCACAGAGTCTCTTTGGAGGTCTTTGGCTACACAAATCATGCATTTATTTTCTGGACATAAATCCCAGAAAAAATCTGCTTGGTCTAAGCTGTAAAATGCCTCAGATGTTATAGGGAAAAGAATAGAAGTCTTTCTTATAATCCCATCTAAGTGTGTTGCTTAGGAAATGCAAAGAGGAAGCTGCAAACTTACCATCTGAAATAGGTGAAGGGAGAGGTTGGCCATGGAAGGTTTGAAAGATTCTAGAGAGGAGAGAGCAGCAAAAGAGCTGTTGTGTGTCAGGGCGGTTTGAGGGGGAGGGGATCTATCTGAACAGCTGTCTCCTGCCAGCTCTTCTCAGCCTTAGCCTCTTTTCATGGTTCCCACTGCACTCATGGATTTTAAATTTATTTCTGTGATACCACCCCCCGCTACCTTTTTCACGAGATTGTTCTCTCTGTTTACCTATAAATATTTCCATATGGATATCTCAAAGCCACCTCAAATTCACCATTTATCAAAACACACACTGTATTTTCTTCTTATTATTTCTGATGTTCTCAACAGCATTAACCATGACACCATAAACCTTAGTTCCCACTGCCTCACTCTTCTCCTTCATAGCACACATTAAAGTGGCTACTAACCCTACTTGCTAAATCCATCCCCTAAGCTTCATCACCTCTGTCTCTGGTCAGTCAAGGCCCTCATTGTTTGTCACTAGAACACGTCCTTATCTTTTTGCCATAGGTCGCCCCATCCCATGGAATCCTCCACACAGATTGCTAAATTACCTGAAAAGTAAAATCTTAACATGTCACTCTCCTGCTAAACAACTTTATCCTAGTTTCTGTGGCTGCATTTAGCTCATTTTTCAGGGTCCTTTGAATGTGATACTAACCTTCTCACCTGCTGGGTCTCCCATTTCTCCTCAGCCACAGGAACTCTGGCTAGTTTCAAATACTGTGTGTTCTATCATGCCTTGGTTCCTTTGCATTAGCTCCCTCATTTCCTGGAATGCCTTTTCTGCTCTGCCTTGTCTGGAAATTTCCTCTTGCAGCTTAAAAGCACGTTCCTCTAGATAACCTTACATTAATTCCTGTGGGGGAACCCCATGGCATGCATGTTCTTCTGCCATACTGTTCATCCTATTGCATTGTAATGTAATGTTGATGAGTTTCTTTCCTTCAGCCAATGGTTAATATCTCGAAGTGGTGGGCAGTGTCTGGTACATAGTTGGTGCTCCGTAGATACTTGTCAAAAAAGGAAATGGCTACATTGTCTGGGGCAAGGGTTGGAGACAGTGATTTAGATTGCCCAAAAGTACACCCATTGTTACCATTTGTGTGTGCCACTACTCTTGGGTAGGGAAGAGAAGGGTCTTAATTAATCAAATGTTCTTATTGGGGAAGAAAGGCAGCAGATCCTCAGCAGATGTTTTTGAACTGAATCAAACAACAACCAAATGTAGTACAGAGATTGTCAATTTTCAAATACCTGGAATGCTACATATTCTCCACAAGATGGAAGGTCATCACACCCTTCTTAGATGACTCAGAGAGCCTGCTGCAGTTTCACAGGACATTGAGATCCTCGCTCATCATGGCCAGCCAACATTATTGCCCAGTACTTCTG